ATAATTATTCATTTGGAAGAAAACAAAGTAAGGGAAGAGACCTTTCTCTTCATCAAGACACACAATAAAAATTAGCAAGGAAATAGAAGTAAAAGCAAGTCATTGAAAAGTTAGGTTTGCATACTTCCAACTTGTCCTGGTGTGGAGACCCTTTAGGTTTTATTAGCTTAGTATATGGATACCTCTCATATGAATAGTCTGTCTTTTATCATTCAATCAAAATGTTCATTTTGGTGATCTAATGTGTTTTAATCAACACTGTCATACAAGTTTTGTCCTACATGGTTACTACATCCCACATTGATAAAAATGGGGTTGACTGGGACTCATCATTGCTGATAGATTTGTTGATGTAAGTGACACAAAAATGTGGACACTGACATATCTATCATGGGATAGCCTCTTGAGATGTGGAGTGTTTGAGTTACAGAGAAGTCCATGGAAGGCCTCCTCTTGAATTAAATGTAATTTACTTCAGACCCTTGAAAAGAAAGAGTCATAATTTTCACTTTAAACTAGCTTGACTGAGAGGGTCCAAAGTAGCAAATGTAACAATTCAAGGTCTTCTTCTCATAACTAATGTGGGGCTTTAATCTCCTTCACTCCCTATCCACGATACAGATCATTCTTATCAATATCACTAATTAGGAATGGACCAGTATCTTTCCCTCACCATGTTCTGTCCTTTCTAAAGGTGACCTGTTGTCATGGACCAAACTGTATCAGCAAATACACTAACATATACACAACATGGATACTCAGTTCTTGATCCTGAGTCCTCAGCCTGATTAATCTACCAGAGATGCACGCAGAATTGCAAAAATGAGAAGAACAAGAAAGCAGTGCGTCTTAATCTGAACAATTTCTGATTACAGTGCCTCCAGGTACTAAAAAAAGGAAATAATTTATTCCTAAAAATGAAGTAAAACTGTACAGGAGGAAGCAGAAAGGGAACTGTAGAATTCTGAAAATAAAAAGTAAAGATTGATGGAGGAAAATAAGCTTTAAAAGATTATCTCTGCTGGACATTTATATTTATAACTACCACTTATGTAAAGAAATTTGCATATTAAAAGTTTGGCACACCATGACATGTTTCTATGTCTTTATAATGTTCTTGGGCATCTATGATAAAAGTTTTCTAAACTTCACAATCTAGCGTCTAGCTTTGATTTTCCTCACTGAAGAGGAGAAAAGCAATGACTGTTATCATTGCTTTCAATGGGAGCAGATATAAATAAATTCTGAAAGCTGTTAAAATATTAAACTCAAGTCTACAAGAGCACAGAATTCCTGATTCTTTTCTCAGATCCAAGCTGTAGGCACACAGTCTTCTGTCTAGGGAAAATCAAAAAATCCTTTGTGTGGGGGTCAGTTACCTAAATATTGGTATCTAGTGCCATTTTCAATGCCTTGGGGTATTCTACTCAATTCCCAGATGTCTCTTCTAAAAGACACGTACCTTCTGTAGAACTTGTGACATTTCCATCAGGCCACATGGGTATTTCGGATACCCTATGGTGTCTAAAATGACCTTACAACCTTCTGTTTAGACAACTTAAATCTACGCTTCATATACAATAATTTGTTTATACAACATCATAGACAGCTCTCATTTACTCTATCAGAATAGTAAGCACCTGTTTAATTTTGAGTGGTATAATCAGACCTTATCTTACAGAGGTATAGTAGGTACTATTAAGGGTTAAGAACAAAAGTATTCAAGTAGCAGCCACCGTACTAGACTCTAAGTGCCCTACTTCTATTGTCATAATAATCATAAATAATTTCTATAATTTAGAACAACTTAATCTTGAGGTCTGGAGCAGGTCATAGATACAACTTTTTTGGAGAATATGTCCCAGATAGGGCACAGAGCATTACTTCTTGACAGAAGTAGCATTACTAATTTCCAAGGACAATAACCTTTATGATCTTTTGGTGTTTTCACTCATGATAATTTAACTATTGCTAATATATTACTTGATCTTTCCAAGAAAACATCTTGCCTTTTGTGATCCCAATTTTATTTAAAATGCCTAGAATGTGCATGAGTCTCTTGGTGCCATCACTTGATCATAAGTGAAAACCTATTTCAAAAGAGATTTTATAGCATTTCAACACATTGTACACCCTTCAGTTTTAAGTCCTGCTAGGCTTGACAAAAAGAAGGGATAGTGACAGCATTGGTCACATCCCAGGGGAAGGAAGTACAGTTTATTTTGGACATCAAACTCCATGGCTCACAAGCAGATGCTGACACTAGCCAACAGCAGTTCAAAAGGCATTTTCAGTTTGAGAAAGTAAGAGGGATCACTATAACGCAACACAGTAGAATTTCTTTAGTAACACAAAGTATTAGAATCCATCTTTCATCTTGAACAAAATTCCAGAATCAAATTTTAAATAAAAGTATAGGAAAGACTTCATAACAATTTTCCCATTCAAAAATCATATTCAGTTGTAAAAGGTCACATCAGAACAGTCGGAAACTACCAACAATGAAATTGGTTACAATATCTAATTCACTGTTACATAAAATGTATTTACGGTAGAATAGTTAAGGAATACATGTAATTTAAAGAGACCCCCTATAGCAATCACTGAGACTAAACATATGCAGTATAATAAGTTTCAAATCCATTGCATTTACTGTAGAGTGCAAGAGCTTTTTCTGTCCATTGAGAGCCCCTGGCTTAGCAAGAAAGTCAGACTGTCACATTATTAAATTAAATCATGAATGCCAATCAGAAGAAGTATTCCTTTTGATTTTCATTTGCTGTCGTTTGCATGCTGAGCTCACTTTTCAGTGCAGATTCAGCACTGTCTTCATTTTCAGATCCTTTTGCCTCATTTTTTGAGTATATGCCTTTTTTTTTATAAATACGTATGGCTATGGCAGTGATACAAAGTAGGATGAATATCACAACCGCTATCACACCTAGGAGAAGAAAAGAGAAAAAAGTCAAGAGAAAGGGTAGACAAATAATAACTCATGAGCCAAAGAGTAGGACAAAGAGGGAATGACTCCATCACATAATGGAAGGAGTTGCAGGGAACCCTGAAAAATAAGAAGCCGTAGCTACTTTCAAACCAGAACCAGCACTGCATTAATTCATGGTGATTGTTTTGAAACTTTGCACACTACTAAGGCCAAAAAAAAAAAAAATCCATGGAATACTATAATTTTTGAAAATTTTGAGTGGAATACCAGTATGGGCCTTAGGGTACTGTAGATAAAAGGGTGTCTTTACCTCCTTCTTCATAAGCCCCTAGCTCTCTGCCATGCTGGGAACTCAAGTCACTGCAGATTTGAGGAGCTGTTCTTCAGGGACTTTCATGCTAGAAAATGGGATGGCACAAAAGGCACTACTATGACTTTTTCCTTTTCCCCAACTCCTATGAGTATTGGACAAAGTACTCTCCCTTTCCTCAGTCACTCATGTCACTCAGGTCCCTTTCTCACGTCACATGTCATCAGGAGGGAAGGGGACATGTGTCTCATCATCAGCTTTCTCCTGCCAATCCGCTCTCCTGTCGCTGCTCCAGGTCTGGGGAAGGAATCTGGAGAGCAGAGGCAGAGCAGAACAGGGTGAGGACAAAGGTACCAATCTGGAATTCTGAACCAGGTCCTCTATCAGCTTTGCCTGTGTACACCACAAAGTCCAAGCCTCAGACCCTTTGCAGTAAAATTGTTGCACAGAATTAGTACCATTCATATCCAGTACTTCACACAAATTAGTTCAGACCACAGATGACTGATTCTGAGTAAACAATGTAGTTAGTGAGGAGAATTTATAAAAGAAGACATAAAACAGTTCATCATAGGGAGTCTGGTGGAAATTGGCCAGTGTTTATAGCCACCTATCATCAGATCAAATGGGGCAGAAATTCTAATGTGTATTCTGCCTCATGGAAGAAAATCCCAACTCTGTCTGCCTTTGGTACCTCATAATGGGACGAGGAGGTTTTCATGATCTACATTAGGTAGGGCTCACATTTCTGTAACCGCATCATTGTAATGAATAGACACTGGTTAAAATACTAAAATACTAAAATCAAGTCTCACTTCATGTTTTAGGTGAAATAACATAGGTGTGACCCTTTCCTCTCCCTTCCCTTCCCTTCCCTTCCCTTCCCTTTCCTTCCCTTCCCTTCCCTTCCCTTCCCTTCCCTTCCCTTCCCTTCCCTTCTGCAGCACTTTTGCTGACATCCTAGGTGTGTTTTTGCTTTGCATGGCTACATGACCTTGCATTCATAACTAAACAAGGTCCCTGCCTACACAGATGGTAGTGAGAAATCTTCCTTTTCCAACAGCTTTAACAGCCCCATCTGGTAGGGTAAAATCATCATCAGTACAGCCACCTTCATTATGGTGTTCTAGCTGATGAGCTAGAAAGCAAAGGGACAGGAGCATAAGCTTTATATAAGGGACTCATCAGGTATCATATGGGCCACATACCTAACACATAAGAGACTAAATGGAATGGGCACTTAGTTTTAAAGGCAACTATTTAAGATTATTGAACTGTTACCAGGGCGTGCTGCTCCTAGCACAGCAGATTAGGAACAGTGAGGAAAAAGATACTTCCCACAGAGATAATCATGTCCTTACAGACTTCCAGCCCATCTCCTCTCTTCCTCATTCATCCTCTCATGATCATCTCAGGCCCTCAAGTTCATGAGTCAGAGGTTGGACAGGAGAGGAATTGGAGGAGAAATGAAACAGAAGGGAAGCAGAAAGTGCTTGTCAAAGAGGCAGAAAGCAAGACTAGGCTGCAGGGAGGAAAAAAGCACTAACAGTCTCGGAAACAGTTGTAATGGCTCAGCTGTACTAGATGAAGGACCAATCTGCTGCTTAACTTGGCCACTACTGCAAGAAAAATAAAAATGCATAGTCCCTTAGTGCTGTAAATAAAACCAGACCATTCAAAATTCAGCACTTGCCAGTTTTTGCATTCTTTAATATGAGCAGCCATCCTTAATGGTAGGAATATACATTTTTTTTGTGTGTGTGGTATCTTCTTCTCTGGAATAGACTCTAAAATCTGAGTAAATCTTATTGTTATTTAGATTAAATAGAGCAGTCATTCATTTGTTTAACAGTCACAGCACATGTCCCCTGTAAGGGCTTGTCCATAAACTTTCCTTGTCTGAGGTAGCTGAATTGGTACAGTTCTCATTTATACTCATTTAAGGGTACTTACATTAAACTTTTATTGTGTTGTACAGCTTGCTTTATTTTGACTTTTAAGCAACCATAGCTAAGCAGTAGAAAAATTGTGAGTGCATATTCCCAAATGTGTTTAATAACAATAAAATTGTGAGGTTATTATTATCTTAAAAAGATTGTAACTATTGTAGCTTGAAGTTCAAAAATGACTTTGTTGTTAGTACACTTAAAAATCCCCACCAACACTAAATTAGCTAGTACATAATGTGATCTTTATGTACAGATGCTTATGTAAAGTAATACTTATCTTTTGAAAGAGTAAAGCAATTTTTGACAAAGGTAGACATGTAGAAGAACTCAGAAACCATATTTTTAAATTCTGACCTCACTGAATTCAGTCGTAAAATTCTCAAAGTTTGTGTGTATAAAAGTATACAGACATAAGTATCACTTTACAAGCAAGGAAGCTGCTAGGTTTTATTGCCTCTTATTTTAGTATCTTTAGTACTACCATGTTAAAAGTCACTGACCATGTAGTGTGCTGTTGGCAGTCACTGACCATAGCAGGTAGCATTATTTAAATGGCAGACACACAGGTGACTGCAGGTTCTTATCTTAACTTCATCTTCCATAGACCTAAATGCTTTTATCCTCAGTGAGAAGCCTTGGCAGCTTTATTCTGCTAAATCCCACTATGTCATTTGTCTGCTGAGACTTTTAAAACCCTTAGAAAGGAAACCTATTCAGAATTTAAAAGATGGAAGGAATGACCTTTCCCTCCCTCTGCCCTCTTTCTGTTGAAGTACCTAATGGAAGTTGAAACAGTGAATTATACTGTGAAAATACCATCTTCATGAGTGAACAAGTTTCCTTCCCTCACCTTCTCCCAAGATAAGAAATACTACTAGAAATTCTCAGAGGGGAAGATTGTCACAAGAGACAATACTATTCCTTGAAAGAAAAAAAACTGAACTGATATAGCCATACCCTTTCTACAATACTGGTGACAGGAATTGAAATTCTCCTGAGGGTCACCATTCCCAAACTCTCCCTGTTAAGACTCATTTGAGTAAACAGAACTGGTAGGCTTTCCCACTACAACAGAGACGGATCTTGGCTTAAGGATGGTCAGTCAGAAAGACACAGTAATGGAACCTGCATATCTTGATTATCAGTCCTGTACTTTAAGCACAAGACGTCTATCCTAAGCTTTGTACCATATTTGTTCTGATATGCATAAAAAGTAAAGGGACTGTCAACACAATCACTTTAGGAGCAATTGAACTGTACGTGGTTCTTCCTCTAATTCGTCTGTTAAAAATAAGTGTTTTGAAAAAAGTTTATGGATGATCATTTGTAGTTGTATTTGAGCTGATAAAAGTGGCCAAAAGAAATAGTAAGAAAATGGAGGAGAAATGGTATTTCAAACCAACGGTAATTATTTTTTATTATTAATTTAACATGTATTTTATTTTTAAGCTGTTAATCAATGCAAGTAATAGTCTGTCCAAGAGTACATTGCTTTCCAAATGTAGAACCAGAATGAAACTTGCCTCAGTCTGTCAAAGGATTGATTCAATCAGTGTTAGACCCCATTTTCTCAAGAAAAATCTGTGTTGCTCCGATCTATTAAAGAAGATTTTGAAATTGACTGTGTAGCAAAATATAATTTTTTGGCATAGTCAAGGAGGAAAGATTGTGCTTTCTTAAATATATGCTATTTGTCCTGATGGCATAAATTTATGTAATAAGAAAATATGAGAGTTATTGATTGCATTCTAAAACAATGCTTGATTTTTATCTGTCCACCAATTGTAATAAAATGAAGCCGTTTTACTAGTTTCCTTATACACACAAAACTAAACTGACTTCATTTCAGCATTGAAAGACCCACAGTCATTAGAAAAAAATGGTTCCCATGGAGTTGTTAAAGTCCCTATTACCTCCAATAATTGCAGAATCACTTCTGATTGTGTTAGCTAAGGGCTCTCCCTCATCTATTGGTCCAGAGTGATCTGCAGCAGAAAAAAGGGAAAGTGACAGACAAATAGAAGAAGGGTTTTCAAGAAATTCTTACATGGTTACAGCTCAGGTACAGTATGGTACAGTGGAAGTAGTGTGGGTCCATAAGCATGCAAAGAAGAACAGTGATGTCGATGATACAGAGATAAAGAGAAAAATGTAAACATTTAGAGGAAAAGAGAAAGGCTAGAGAAAAGGAAGTGAGTATATATAAAAGAGAATTCTTTTCAAACTACTCCTGAGATGTTAACCCATATGGAAAAAAAAAAAAAAAAAGACATTTGTGAGTCAAGTCATAAGTACTCTATTTAGATTTTACTTCAGAGATCAGAACAAGTGATAATCACATGCTACCTGCAAATGAATGTGTTGTTTCACTTGATGTTGAGTCAGCCCCAGTTAAAGTACCACAGTTGGATTCAGTGAAGCGTCCCTTTACAATGACGGGGGCTGAGCTGCTGTGGTGCAGTGCAGCCTTCAAAGGAGCAATGTGGTTGAACTGCACTGAGGAGAGACATCCAATAAACCCCTGAGAGTTTGCCTTCATAGTCTCGTCATCTACATCACTGTTTTCTGTTAATCAAAAGGAACAGAACACAATTAATCATAGTGCAAATGTACAAAATAAAGTGACAGAAGAATAAATGAATAATTAACCTGTGTTCCTTTGAGTACATCTGAGTTACAGCAGCATATGTAGATTCATTGAATCCCTTTCTTGTCTGTCTTTAATAAAAAGACAGTCAGATACATTAAACCCTTTTTTTTTTAACAGATGACAGTTGCTAGTCTGCTGAGGGAAATGCTTTTAACTTACTATAGCAAGTTCCAAAGCAAAAAGATTCAAATGTAACTAAAATATTTAAATTAAAATGCAACACTTTTTCATTCTGTGAAAAGATAAATATGAAGCATGCATTCATGAAAATACATATTTTATTAGATTTCTTTTCATAAATATTTACATTATTGGATCATATTCTTTCCACAGATTCATATATGTACTTCATCCCATCACTATCAAGTCTGTCAAAACAAAAACTCCCTGAATACCTCAGATCCTGGAAATCCATCAAGATATTTTGCATGAAATTCTAAAAAATGAATGTTGTTCCAATTCACTATATATTTTAAACATGACATCATTATCTTTCCCACTAAAAAAAAAAAATAACATCTCCCCTCCCCCTTATCTCTTGAGCTGCATTTCTGAATGTATGTACTCTGTCAGAAATCTCCATTTTTTGATCAGCTAATGCTCACTAATGCACTACTTTGGAAAAGGAAAACAATTTATTTACTCTGACAATTCTAATTTAAGCAAAAACTCTAGAAGTACTAATTATTCAAAGAGGACTCTTAAGGGAAGTAAGTTTTCAAGTTTTGTGCAAATAAAATGGGAATTTCATCTCATTCATTTCCACCTCCAACTTACCCTAGAACCCATGAATGAACTTGTGATCTTTACAATGGCTACCACAACAATTTCAAATACCAATGGACAATGCACTCTTTGATACAATTAAGTTAATATTGAAAATTGGGCTAATGTGTTTTGGTAGAGTGTTGCAAGACAGCATAGCAGCATTTTCCTCAACTACTCTCTGCTTATTGCAATGATGATGTGTCATTAGATAGATGGATGTCAGCCAAGAGTCTGCTCACCTACATTGATGGATTATGTAAAATGTTGGATAGTTAACTGCCTCTATTCTCTCTGTAGCATACACTGCTTCTCATGATTGCCTCGCTTCACCAAAGTGAACTGGATGTCTTAAGAAAAAGACTAACCTGAGGTTGCATGAAAAAAATGTCCAAAACCCCTTGTGATAAAAATATTTATCTCTAACTATAGGTAGGATCAAAAACCTCAGGAATGAAGCTTTTTCTATTTTCTAGTTTCCTATACAAACATTTCTTAAACATTGTATATGTATAATGTGAGAGGAAATTAGATATTTAAAATCCTTAGAGTTCACTTGACTCATTAATTAGAAAATACTTCTGGGATAAAGTAAAACTTTTTATTAGATCAAGAAATCTTGCTGGTAAAAGTGACAAGATTTAGAGAAGACTAACCCTTCTCCACTTTAGTGCTTAAGTAAAATTTAACTGACTGAAAATCACACACACACACAAGTTGTTTATCGAAGACTGTATTTTACAGTAAACAGCAGTATGCATCCTTAAGTATCTTTATAGCAATTCATTTGCTAAGTGTACTCAATTTTTTTCAGCAAAGACAAAATTTCTCCACTTACATTGCCGCCTTAAAAAAAAAAAAACAAAAGCAAAACAGAAACTCAGTAACCCTCTTTCTTGAGTCCTGCTTTAACCATCTTTCCTCTGTTAAGTAACGCTGAAAGTCAGCAGACATACAGCTCCTAGCAGAACATTTTAAGAACTGTGCGATCAAAAGACTAGATTTGACCTTTATGCTTTTTTGATGTTGAAGATTTCAAAATTTTTTATGTTCCTGTGCAATCTTATCTTGTCTTAAAATTAGACAAATCCATAATACATTGGGTGAACAATTGGCTGATGGATTGGGCTCAAATAGTTTTAGTAGATGGGGTTACATCAGGCTGGTGGCCAGTTACCAGTGGAGTTCCCCAGGGCTCAGTTTTAGGGCCAGTGCTCTTTAATGTTTTTATAAATGATCTGGATGTAGGAATTGAATATACTTAAAGTAAGTTTGCCAGTGATATTAAATGAGAAGGAACTGTGGACTCCCTTGAGGGTAGACAGACCATACAGAGAGATCTGGATAGACTAGAGAGCTGGGCAATCACGAGTTGTATGAAATTTAAGTAGAGCAAGTACAGGGTTCTCCACCTGGGATGGGGTAATCCTGGTTATACCTACAAACTGGGGGATGAGAGACTGGACAACAGCCCTGCAAAAAGAGATCTGGGGATTTGGGTTGATAGCAAGTTGAATATGAGTCAACAGTGTGCCCTGGCAGCCAAAAGCATCAACAGTGTCCTGGGGTGCATCGAGCACAGCATAGTTAGCTGGTCGAGGGAGGTGATTGTCCTGCTCTACACAGCACTGGTGCAGCCCCGCCTCGAGTACTGTGTGCAGTTGTGGGCACCTCAATACAAGAAGGACATCAAACTATTAGAGTGTGTCCGGAGGAGGGTGACCAAGATGGTGAAAGGTCTCGAGGGCAAGACTTATGAGGACTGGCTGAGGTCACTTGGTTTGTTCAGCTTAGAGAAGATAGGGCTGAGGGGTGACCTCATGGCAGTGTACAGCTTCTTCAAGGTGGGCAGTGGAGGGTGAGGTGCTGATCTCCTCTCTCTGGTGACCAGCGATAGGACACAAGGAAATGGAATGAAGCTGCGTCAGGGGAAGCTCAGATCTATTCAGGCACTAGGAAAAGGTTCTTCACTGAGAGGGTGGCTGGTCACTGGAACAGGCTCCCCAGGGTAGTGGTCACAGCAGCAAGACTGTCAGAGTTCAAGGAGCATCTGGATGACACTCTTAACCATATGGTTTAGTTTTAGGTAGTTCTGCAAGGAGCAGGGAGTTGGATTCGATCCTTATGGGTCCCTTCCAACTCGACACTATATGATTCTATGGTTCTATAAATCTGCTCAGTAGAAAAAATTAATGTGCATTTGTCTTTCACAGTTAAATTATCATCTGGAGGTACTAACAATGTGCTTGGAATGGACTGCCACAAAACCTCACATTTGTGCAACAAGCCTGTATTGGTATGAAAATTTTATCATGGCCAAGCTTTTTGCATTAAAAGTGCTTATTACAGTTAAAACTAATCACATCTATACACCCTCTGATTTCAGTTGAATCGTATATGGTTGGTTGGGTGGGTTTTTTTTTCCCTGTGGTTAATATGTGACCACATAAATGCTGCTATGCTGTTACCTCTTTTTTTTTTAATACAAAGAAATACAACGTTATTTATCAACCAACTTTAAAAGACTGAATTTTATTATTTTATTTCTGTCACTGAGACTTTTTTAGTAGAAAAAGCTGCATAAAGAGAAAAAGACAATTTTAAAGCAACTATTATTTAGCATGTGCTTCACTGCAGTGCTTCTTTGGGAGTACTGAGACATTATTGTTTTAAAAGGCTGATTTTCAAATTAATAATTTGAATTATCACTATATTTTTACTTATCAATGGAGCGCAGTGAGAGTTTTGCAATTCCATCATTTCTTTATCAATAAAACTATAATAATTAGAGCTTTTAAGCAAGCTGTGCAATTATTAATTATCCTCAAAGATATGCCCATAAAGACAGAACTAAATTATACAATCTTATAATTTCACAGACAAGTAAACCAAGAAAGGACAATTTCACTACAAATAGAACAGAATAGTTTGAATACAGAGAAATTCCATTTCAAATGTGAGTACAAAATATTTTACTGGTTTAACTTAGGTCTTCTTATTAAGAGTCTAGTGAAAATTTATTTTTATTTATTACTGAAATAACCAATTTTTACATTGTTGGAGATGTCCATATTCAGTGTGATGCCTTTGTTTAAGTGAATTAGCTTAAAATCACACTTTCTTTTAAGCTGGTGAAACTTTGTATATAAATCAGATCTAAGTACATGTTGCTGATAGCCTATCTTTGTCTCGGTTGGCACGGAAAGGTTAACAACTCTCACTAAAGAAAAACGTCACCCACAGCTGCCCACCCTCCATCTGGGGAAGGCTAGGACACTGTCCTTCGCAAATGCGGCTTTACTCAGCAGAAGTAAATTACTTCGTCATTGGCTTGCTTTAAAAAGAGAGGTTTCTACAGCCCTCTTACAATCTGGGGTGCTTTGAGAGAAAGTAGGTTCTTAGAAGGAAAACAAAAAACATAAGGAGCCCTTTGGCTGGTATCCTGTCAACTCTATGGCTGACTGTGCTGCTTCTCTTTTCCCTCAGAACTTAACATTCACATATTTTGCTGAGTCCCAACACTGCCTAGCTCCCTGACTATTTTGTCACAATGTTGCATAACATAAATTCAGAATTCTTTAAATTGGAAGGCTTAGGTTCTGGGAAGTGAGGAAGAACACTGATTTTTTTTTTTTTTTTTTCCCCCTGGGAATTCAAATCTTGTTCAGCAGCTAACTCTCAGATTTGCTTTCAACAAAAAACTGAGCTATGCATAACTGCAGAAGACCTCAGACAAACACTTCTCCACCTGCAGATAGTTCTTAGAAAATGATCACTTAGGAAAATCCATAGCTTTCTGGCCTGCTTAGAACTTGTGGGTTTTTCCTGAACAACATTTCAAAGTACAAGAAATAAGTGATTTCATACTTTGTTATTCCTTCTTCCGTTTAGACCTCTTCACTGCAGCAAACACATTACTTTTTTCCATTGCCTTCAAAAAGTCTCCTTCCATCTCTAGACATGACTTCACAGGAATCAGGACCCAGAGCAGTCAGATTTATAAAAGAAACAGCAGCTCTTCAATAGCATCTCTCCTTTGTAAGGGAGAGAAGTATAACATATGTTTTCTTCAGGACAGATTCTGTAAACTGAGCCAAATTGGACTGGGTGCCCCCACAGGTCATTGTAACTCCATGCTTCACACTATTGTGATGAGGTAAAGCCATCATATAACTGAAGAAATTCCCACCTCTTAACTTCTATAACAGTGTGGTTTCTTTGGAAGAGACAACATTGGGCCTGATCAAAAGAGACTGCTATTTTCCTAAAAATGTGCATTTCATTACACTGCGTCAAACACATTTTTAAGTAAATTGGTGCAAGTTTTGATATGGAATTTTATAAGAAAGATAACAAGCCCTTTAATTCTGTACTGGTCATTGTAGTATTACCCTTATGTGAGTGTGACTGCAATAAACTACTACCCTTCAAAATATTATAAATTCATGATTCAGTTTTATCATCTATTTGTGGGGTTTTGAAATATTTTAAATTATTTTCTTCCAGTAGTTTATATTTCAGCTAATATTGCTTTAAGGTTGTGCTTAAATGATTATTCTCTTTTCCATTTTCTGTGCATATCTACATACTAGTTATTTTCTGGACTGTGAGTTCTATAAAGAAAATTTGCATTTCAAAAATAATATAAATTTCTGTTTGTGTTAGAGGTCCTTCATTATTTTTCCAGTAAGAAAACAGATCACCTGCACTGAGACTCTTGAAAACCACAAATACAAATTTGATGGATAAAGAATTAGCTGGATGGCCTTATTCAAATAGTTGCGTGCAACAGCTCAATGTCTAAATGGAGATCAATAACAAGTGGTGTCCCTCAATGGTCCACACTGGGACCAGTACTGTTCAATAACTTTATTAATGACATAGTAGGATTGAGTGCATCCTCAGCAAATTTGCGGATAACACTAAGCTAAGTGGTGCAGGTGATTCACTAGAGGGAAGGGATGCCATCCAGAGGGACCTGGACAGTCTTGAGGGGTGGGCCAATGTGAACCTTCAAGAAGCTCAATAAGGCCAAGTGCAAGGTCCTGCACCTGCATTGGGGCAATCCCCACTTTCGATACAGACAGGGGGATGAATGGATTGAGAGCAGCCCTGCAGAGAAGGACTTGGGGTACTGGTGGAAGAAAAATTAGATATGACCTGGCAACACATGCTTGCAGCCCAGAAAGCCAATCATATCCGGGGCTGCACAAAAAGAAGTGTGGCCAGCAGGTTGAGGGAGGTGATTCTCTCCCTCTACTCTGCTCTTGTGAGATCCCACCTAGAGTACTGCATCCAGCTCTGGGCGTTCCCAGCAAAAGACAGACATGAATCTGTTAGATCATGTCTAAAGGAGGGCCACAAACATGGTCAGAGGGCTGGAACACCTCTCCAGGCTGAGAGTTGAGGCTGTTCCACCTTATTGCAGCCTTTCAATATATAAAGGCGGCTTGTAGAGAAAGGTGGGTCTGTATGACAGGACAAGGGGTAACAGATTTAAACTGAAACAGGGTAAATTTAGATTGGACATAAGGAAAATGGTTTGTGGTTTTTTTTTTTTTAATGATGGTGTTGGTGAGACATTGGAACAGGTTGTCCCAAGAAGCTGTGGATGCCCCACAACTGGAAGTGTTCAAGGTCAGGTTGTATGATCCTTTGAGCAACCTGGTCTAGTGAAAGATATCCTTTCCAACTCAAACCATTCTGTGATTCTAGAGCTTATACATCAGTCTATTAAATTAATTACACTTGAAATATCACATTAAAATCTCACTCAATTAATATCTACTTTTCTAAACAATGATAGGTCAGAAATTGTCTTAATTATGCTTTTCTGTTGTGAAATTGAACTGAAGATTTCATGAAGTCCTTTGTTCTAGCTGAGATTACATATAGGAGAGGGTATATTTGGAACTGATTTTTGCATGTGTGTGTGTGTGTGTGTGTGTGTGTGTGTGTATGCTCACATATGTGTGACAGAAAGAGTTAAACTCTAAGTTTCACTCAGAATAGAGCAGAAAACTAACTTCATACACATTTTTGTGTTGGGATTTACATTATCTGGATGTAGACAGAGGTCAGACAGAAACTGTTGGAGACTTACTGCTTCTCACCCAGTGGCATGATAGATTATTTCAGATAATGCTTACTTGTCAGTAGGAGATTCTTTCGGAAAACATAACAGCATTTTCTACCATCATAGCCAGGACAGTATTTCTGGGTCTGTTACAATGGCAGAAACATTGATTTGCAAAAGCTATTATGTTATTCCCAAAGGTACTATACAAAAAGTGGTGGATATATGGATCCTGGAGGGACACCTCAGGTACATAGTAATAAAATTCCTCTAAACTAAACCACAAACAACTGAATGTGAAGAAAACACTTCTTCGATCTTCTGGTTTAGGGTAGGTATTATATAAAACATGTAAATAGTTCCTATAAGCCTGGGGGAGCAAGGTAAAGTAATATATTGTCTATAATAAGTTGAGATGAAAACTCAATTTCTCCTATGTCACATATCACAGTTTTCTGAATTTATTTCTACAAAAAGCCTTTTGCTTACTTAAAGAAATTTTTAAAGAATGGGAAACCATTGCTCCTATGCAGGCAGTTTTCTGGCTAAATGTTCAAGCACCAAAAAGTTAGAGAGGGAGCCAGTTCATTTCTCGGATCATGTTTTGGAACATTGTTCATAATTTCTGTTAAAAATTGCTTTTATTAAAAATAAACAGAATTGCTTTCAGTAGTGGTGATAATATGTGTGCTATATGAAATTATAAACATTTAAGATCTATAGACCTAGATATAATCTTTTCCAATAATCCATATTTTGGTAAACCTATTTATTCTACACTTAGCCCAAGACCACTTGTGAAAGGGTCAAAATAATCAGTCTAACTACAAAATGGTGAAAAGGTTAGTGTAGCCTTAGTTACTATGTATCACAAACTATACCAGCTCTATTTTCATATTGTTGCAATAAAAAGTGCTCTTAGAGGAAGAATGCCCAAATGGACATTTACTTGATATGGGAATGTAGCAACATAGACTTTAAATTACTTTAGAGGAAACAGAAATATCCTTTGACTTTTCGCCAGCACCACATCTTCCTCTACTGTTGCGCTTTCCCAATGTGATGAATATGAAAATAATAAGATCTTGAAAATTTTAATTCAGGTTATTTTATTTTAACAAAATTGACAAAATGGTAATTGTAGATAGGTAAATCCCGTTTTGATCATTACTACAGAGAAATGGACAGCTTTTGATGAATCATTGCTGGACAAAATATTTTGCCGTAGCTTAACTTTTAACATTTTTAAAAAGTAACTCCAACAAAGTTTTTGCTTACATTACCTTATCCCTAATTGTTTACATCAAAATCTAATCACAGAAAGTTTTTCAAATATGATACATGATTAATAGTATTCTATGGTCTTTGTGTATGATTTCACAGTGATTTATTTTTTCCTCAGAGTGAAAAAAAAAGTGGTGTTTCATAACATTTGATTGCAAAATGAGAGAGAGAAGTGTGAAATTATTTTTAATGGAACCCACTTGATCATTTTTCAGGAAGTACTTACCCATGATTATATTTGTATTTCAACAAGACTGAAGTTTCTACCTTGATTCGTGACCTAGTGTCTAATTAAATCCAAGACAACAAATGTCTTTCAATGAGATTAGGGTCATTAATTTTTACGTGCCGTGATGACATTTTGATCTATGTTTTAGAAAACCCTGTGGTGTTCCACTTACCTAAAATCTTGCCAAGTGTGAGAGACTTGATTGCATTGAATTCTGTGCCTGAAGACAGAATAAACTTCATTCTTTCATTCTGGTTAACCTGCAGAATGGTGCGGTGAAGAACAAAGTAGAATAATGGAAGAGATATTAGTAAAAGTTTGCAAAAAAACCAGATAAGATCAAGGTTAAAAATAAAAGAAGCTGAGGGAAGCATTTGTTAGTTATAGCATAAAAACTAATCAGGAAATAGATGATCAGCTTCCTCAGATCACTGATTATAGCTGTGATACTTCTTAAGCATCCCACTTTATAAGCCTTCATTTATCTTATTGATTTGGCTGATTCCTTTTTCATCTGTAAGATGAATAAAAATGGTAAACTTTCAAAAACATGAAAAAGGCTCTTTTCATTAAAAAAGGCACTCAGCTTTAGTTCATAAAGATCAGATATTATACTGTAAATGCTCTGCCTCCCAGAGTACCTCTAGAACTACTTGCCTTCAAGCTTTGTACCAATGCATAATTAAGCAAACTCAGCTCTAGACTCAAAATACTAATTTGTAACTTCCAGGTTTTTTAAATTGTATTTTAAAAAATTAAAACTTCTTTACATGCTAGTATCTACTATTAACAAATAAAATATTTATATTTTATCATCAAATTTCCACAAAATATAACAAAAATCTTTTCCTTAATAGTCACACCCTTTTGATGTAAAATGGACCAAAGAAAATTAGACAAATGAGCTTAAATTATTATCTAGATGGTAATATATTTGTACTGTAGTTTGACACATAATTTGAAACAAAAAACAAAATGCAAGACCCATAACAAATGACAGCATTCATACATATTTCACAAGTTGTGAAAATTTAACCATCAAGAAATTCATTGTATTTTCATATAAAATGATGAGGAGCTATTGACCTTTAGAAATAGACAGGATGAACACCAAAGAGATTGTCTAAAGTAGACTTTCACTGTGCATCATGAGTCTGCTAACCTTTGCTTCATTTACTTGAGATACAGTTTATGTGGGGGTAATTGCCTTGTAACTATTTACTTCATTTTGCTTTGGATCTTCTACTTTTTTATGATAATCCATGTTTTTTGTTTTGTTTTGTTTTGTTTTTTTCTTGTCTAACTGAATTACCTCTACAAAGAGCATTTCCTCCTGTCTGTTAATCTTCACATGTTGCAGTTGTCCATCAGCCATGTTTTTGGTATTAATGCTGAAAACATCGGGATCTTGATGGCTATCTAGCTTGTACCTGATTTGTAAACTTCCTGCAGGGATAAATAGAGCAAAAGGTATAGCACACTACAGACACAACAGGCAGCGTAGATCATATACAATGCCTTCTGCTTCACAGGTGCATTTGAAGAGCAAAAAAAATGATTGATTTATTTAAGGAATTAACTACAAGAAATTGACATAAGTGAGAAATGAAAGAAGACAACAGAAAAAGTAATAGCAATGTTGGAAGTAGGATGTAGTGGCAAAGGTAGACATAAACTGTCACAAATCTGAATAATGAGTTAAAATTTGTGCAGAAATTTTAGTGAGTACCTTTATAATTCAGCTGAGAAAGACTTGGTGTGGTAGCTCCTATCAGTGTGACTTATCAAATAAAACTCTGTACCTTACAAGTACTGTTCTTGAATAAAGTTTACACTGTCCGGACCTGTTAACCTCTGACCAGTTGACAATTCAGTAGGATACGGTTAATAATGTCTATCTCACTTTCCATTTCTTGTTGTTAATTCTCAGCGTATTGTCTGTGTACATATAATCACATAGAGACTCTTTCACAGCAGAACACAGAGGCAGCATGGTTTCCTTGTCAGAGATTCCCTCCCAGCTGTAAATGGACTACAGTTTTCTACTCATTCTTTGGAAAGAAAGGCCCAGGCGAGACCCAGGCCATTCTTGAGTAAAACGTGTTCCACTACACATGATGGGGAGTATACTACAGTTATTCTACATCCAAATATCTGGGAAAGCCTGGAACCTGCTTTGAGCACAGAACCACTGTGACTGCAAAGAGTCTTTGATAAACCCAAAGATTCAACTCAGTCTGTGGGGTTTTTTAATTAAAAAAAACCCCAAAAATCTAGACATAGGTGAAAGAATGAAAAAGAAAGATCCAACTAACATTTAATATTCAGCTTAAACGGAAACATCAGTTATGTTATATGTATTATCACGGGTATATATATGTGTATTTTCACAGGTATATAGTAGCTTATGAAATCAGTTGAATGAAATGACCTCTAATTAATTTGGAAAATGGATAATGTACTTTCAAAAAGTAGTTTATTTCATTATTTATCATAAGGATGGCAATTAATACACTGCATGAGTAGCAGACAGAGCAGATACATTTTGAGTTTCACTTCAAAACTTTTTAAAAAAAACCTTAATTTGCAATATTTTACTACATTTCTAAAGGATTTCTATATATATATATATTTGCCAACATGATAAAAAGAAAACAGTAGCAAAAGTAGAAATTACAGTAGAAGGAATGTTTTCCATGTGGAAAGCATTCCTTGGTCCAGGTGAAAAATAAATATACCATTTAAAGCAACAACACGACAATGCTTAGTTTATGATTCAGGTCTGGGAATCAGAATGAATCTGAGCTGGCAGCTAGGACGTTCGTTAGTGTTTCTAGATGGCCTATCTGAACACTCACCGTTTCTAGTGAGAATGATCGAGAGGTATTCCTGGTAGAATGAGCTGACATAAAGCAGTAAGCTTGGTGTCCGTGTTGTTCGGAAGGCAAATGTAATTTCTTCCCTGTTCAGTGTCATGTCAGCATAGAAAGAAGAAGCATGAGAACTGGAATTTTTAGCTAAGGTGTAGTATTCTTGAAAATTATATGTCACAGAAGTGCCAGTCCCAAAATAGGCAGAGATTTCTGAAACAAAAAGTAATTAAGTTTTTAAATATCATGCAAAATAAGACTAAAGCTCTTCTTTTTTTCTTTCTGTCACAGAACAGTATTCTTAACTATTGTGATAAAGCTGAAAAAGAAACATAAATGGAACTAAGATTTAGAACTGTAGAGAAAAATAAGACCCAACCTAGGCGAGAGCAAAAGCCCAGCTAGACATGTGTCTTAAATATCTGTTGCATGAAGAAGTGCTTTTTTTTGTCTAGCTTTAAACATGCTTTCTGCTTTTTTCCTGTTTATCCAGGTCCTCAAGTCCAATATGTGCTGTCTTGTATGTATGTTGCTCCTACAGAGAACTGGGTGCACAGTTTCAATCCTAACATATTGATTAAACTTGGCCACACCTGAAACACATATGTGGCAAAAGAGACTGGTCAGGTGGGAAAAAGAAAAGGAGAATACAAACTAGGTTATGGTCTTCTTATGGATGAATCACTCACAGAGAGCTTCTGTATCTCTGTGATATCTCACAGCCATTTTCTGATAAAAGTAGCTGTCTTAGACTATCCTGTTTTCACATCCAACCTCCAGACTTCAGAAAAAATTCTGGAAATTTCTGTAATCTGGCTCAGTATCTTTGACAGAAGGTGACAGAAAGTTATTACTATAGGTCATCCCACACTTTCAGCAACAGGCACCACTCTGTCCCTGCAGAATAATAAACATGGAGTGTGACCATTAGTCTCTTCTGCTGTTTATGGGAGAGGAAGAAACTATCATTCCTCACTCAGTGGCATTAGCTCCACAATATGGAAGGACTTCACATGAGTCCTTTATTCTTGTGGTGTCAGTGATGGCTGGACAGATGTTGTGCTCATTAATTTAGTCGAACATGGAGTTATGGCATTTAAGCCACTGAGTACTTTGCAGAATGCATTTAATACATGGAGGAAACAAGTAATTTTTAGCAGATCAGAATTGTATGCAAATACCCAAATGTTAGATAAACTTCCATTCTTAAAATTCAAACTTGACAACTTGTGACGATCTACCAGTATGACACTATCACCAAAAAACTCCTTTAAAATGGCAGAAAACATGGGCTCAGCCCTGTTACTGATGATCTCAATTTCTTCTTACAGTAAAAAGTTTAAGGTTCTTCGGCTTTTTAGTTTGTTTTCCAAATTTAGTGTTAGTATTGAGATTAAGACTTGAAAGACAGAAATCTAAAAGTTTATTCATAAAGGTATAGTTCCTAGCTTTAGTATAATATAAAAGAATAAAAGGAATTGCACAACATTAAAGAAAAGATGTTGATCTTCTCAGGTAATGTGGTTCCTGCTTTGAATAGTATATATTGAACATATCTCTGGAAAACAGTGTTTAACAAAACTGACACTTACTGAACAAATTCAGCTGGATGTTTCTCTACGTGAACTAAAACACAGATATTTTGCAAGCATTTAAACATGTCTCTAAAGGGCTGTAAAGTTCTCATTCTGGACTGTGTTTTCCTGTTTTCAATAACTGATAAACCTAAAAGAGATGCTTGCCTTTCTTACAGAATGGCCCAGCATAGGCAGAGAAAGTGCAGTCACAGGAGAATCCACTGTATTTCTCTCTACATTTTCCACCATTGTGACACAGGTTACCATAGCTGCTACAATGTCCAGGACAGCCTGGTTCAACTCCTGGTGTTATCTTTGCTCTCTGTTCCAGGTCAAGGGCCATTCCATTCAACTGTAATGAACGAATGCATCCCAAAAATCCTTTCTGCCTGGATGCTGTCCCACCTGAAATAAATTCATATGAGCTTTTAAAAATTTAAAAGAATTGATGTGTAAAAACCTCTTTATGTTTTACAACCCCTGAACAATCTATTATGAATTTCCAAGACACAAGCCTATTCATGTGAAAATATTTCTAAATAGCTTTAAAAGCATATATGATTTCTTTTTTGTCAAGTAATTAGAGCAAAACCTTGAAACATTTAGTGGGAAACAAAGATTTTCCACAGGAAGATACCAAGCAATGATGCACACTTCTATTAATTTGTAAAGGAGTAATAACCAGAAATTAGGTGGTTTTCTTTTTTTTCTTTCCTGTTTCAAAGAGAGAGGGGAGAGGAGAGGAGAGGAGAGGAGAGGAAAGGAGAGG